AATTGGGATTTTAATTATGATGTGCTTCAAATGTGCATTAATGAACTTGATTATTCAAAGAAGCTATGTAGAAACTAGTAAATAATATACAAGAATGTAATAAGCTGAAGTTATAAAATAACAAAATAGCAAAAACGATTTGTTGAATTGACAGCCTGATTGACTCCATTTGAATAATATTGTTTTAATTTAAAGTTGCTCATTTATAAACTTTTATTAGCTTTACAGTTTGAATTGTTTTTAACCCAAATAATTAATTGTTAAAAATAAATATAATCTCTAATTGAAAATATATTACATGTTATAAATATGTATTATCTAGATAAAATAGTAATATGTGTAATCAAGTTAAGTTTATAATCTAGTAAGAATACTTTATAAGTTTTTTAATAATCATAATTATTTGTTACGATAAATTTATATAATATTGTTTATAACAAGTTGAGTTTTAATTAAAAATATATTTTAAAAACTAGAATAATCCGCATTAAACCGGTTTTCAATTACTACTATTTTACGTAAATAAGATTAAATTATTATATGAACATAAATTACATTAATATCATAAATTATAAACGTGTTAAAATTATATACAACTTATAAATATTGCATTTTTACATCTTCACTAAATGTTATTATTTAATGCTTAAATTTAAATTATGTATGCTTTATATTTAATAAAAAATTATAAATAACAAAAATATTTAAATCATATTAATTAAAATTGTTATAAACATATAATTATTATTTTATACTTATTATTAAACATTTTGTGACGGTTCTTGAGTTTTGTTGAGGTGTTTGCAGAGGGCTTAATGAGACTCAATTTAAATGTATTGGTAAGTGGAACAATTTGAGTAGGGTGATGATAGTGGGAACATCACTCGAGCTGATCCAGAGATAAACAACTCGGTGATGGTAATGTGACAAATGTGTTGTCGCGCGGAGTGTGTTATTTTATTATTTGGCATGATTTGAAAATAAACTGTAATTCAGCAAGTATTAGTATTATTATTATTAAATTTATTTGAGATTTAAATTTCGTGGGATAGATAGTCGCAATCAATAATTAATTTTATTATTTTAGTATTTACAATAGTATATATAATTTATTTATATATAATTAAAAATGTTGTTAATTATAATAGTTATATTAATCGTATAATATTTTATTTGTTATATTATTTGATAATTAATTTATAATAATCTAAATTCTTGTAATCTAATCTTTCTTGTCACTGTATAGTTAAAATAGATGTCATTGAAATAAACGTGCTAAATATATTGCTTTTATTAGATTAATAAGATAAAATTTCAAAATTAATTTATTGTAAATAATGTTTGAAGATTAATTTTATTGAACAAATAGAGTAAATATAATTTAATATAATAAATTATAATTTAAAATACACAATATAAAAAATTATAATATTAATTATACGGTATAATTTATACCATATTAACCAATTTTTACGCTAACATTACTCTTTACTCTACGGGTGAGCGCTATCTCTTGGGCCATAGCCTTAACGGCGGCGTAAGTCTCGTTCCCGACGGGTATTATATCCGCGGCCGGCAATAGGAAGCCGTGTTGGCCCTCATCGCGCATCTCAAGGCAGTACACGTACGGTATGTGTGCGAACTTGTGGGCCCAGTCTTAATCAACATGATCGGAAAGTGTAAGATGTTTTTGTAATATGTGAAAATTTATCAGGATTATTTTTATTTATGTTTTAAATACCATGAAATCCTTGAGATACATCTAGATTCTAGATGAATTAAAAATTTAATTTTAATTTTGAGCATAATTAATGTATTGTTGTAAATAAAATGGTATTGTAATAATTAATAAGGTGAGGTAGAAAAATATATTTAAATTGCAATAAACTGTATATTTAAAATTATATATACAGTACATATAGTTAATACATGAAAAACAAAAATAATATATTATGGATATTATGACTAAACACGTCCTATAATAACTATTTTTATTTATAACAATTATTCATTAATTAATAAATAAATTCAATTATAATTTTAATGACATAATAAAACTATACTATATATACTAACACATGATCTGTCCGGGACTACCCAGTTTATACGTCGTGCCGTACAGTGAGTTTAACACCTTATGTCCGATATCGGCACACGTTTCTAAAAACAAAAATACTAATGACAAAATTATCATCACAATTCAATAACCATAGTTAACCAGCTCCTTTTTGTTTGGCGAGTCTGCTTCAGTCCAACATTTAAAAATTTAAGTAAATTAATAATAACTAGTATATAACATGATTTACGGTACTAACCCATGGGTACAAAAACCACTGGCCATAAGAATGCAGTTTTATATAAGCCATCATACGGTGCTTGGTGTTTAAAATAAGGCTCGAGACCGCTCTGGACTCGGGCTCCGAGAATGCTTTGGGTCCCGAGTAGTTCTCTTCGCACGGGTCCCGACTCGAGCCCTCACCGCCCCAATGGAAACCATAGTTACGGTTCAGATTAGTGCCCAAACACTGGTCGGCGCCTTTTAATACAGCATTGTTTTTAGCCACATTCAGCCCTATTATTAAAATAATATATTTTATAAATTAATTCAAAATAATCTATTATTATAATTGACATTAATTTAAACTGAACTGTAGATTAGTCTAGATTTATATGGCATTTAGGTTTATTGGCACAGATCAAAAGGCACTAATATTTATTATAATTTATGTCAGAATGTTACAATCTATAAAGCATAATGTATTTCCTACGGGTTTCTGCTACCATTTTTAACCTGTCTGCTTTTTTGAACAAAATAAAACATGTATTTAATGACTGATTGTAATTGTAAAGTACTAACAAGTCAGTATTAAATGTACCTAAATTAATTAAAAAGTGAATGGCCGAAATGAAGGGCCAATTTGAATGGAAAAAATAAGTTTGTGATAAATCAATTGTAAAGCAAGCAATCCTCAATACAAACAATCATAATGATTTAGCTAAAAATCACCATAGTACAAATTCTAATAGTGTGCATGGTATCGGGTGCAACAATATTTACCACGTTGGCGTTGATGATGGTTAGGCGACATAAATATTATAATATTAATTGTACCATCCTTTAACCAATTTTAACGCTAACATTACTCTTGACTCTACGCGTGAGAGCTATCTCTCGGGCCATAGTCTTAACGGCGGCGTAAGTCTTGTTCCCGACGGGTATTATATCCTTTGCCGGCAATAGGAAGCCGTGTTGGCCCTCATCGCGCATCTCAAGGCAGTACACGTACGGTATGTGTGCAAACCCGTGGGCCCAGTCTTAATCATCATGGTCGTAAAGTGTAAAATGTTTTTGTAATATGTGATTTGTTACAAATTTGTTATATGTGTTTTAATTACAATAAAATTCTTGCGATACATCTAGATAAATTAAAAATTAAATTTTCATTTTAAACTAAACAGAAATAAAAATGGCGAGTATTGTTGTAAGAAAAATAATATTTTTCTAAATAATCAGATAGGGTAGAAAAATAAAGTATACTTTATACTGTATATTGATTGCAATGAACTGTATATTTAACAGTATATCTACATATAGTTAATATACGAAAAATCAAAATTATATAACATGGGAATGATCGTACGATGGAAATGTTTTTATTATTATAAGCAGAGCATTGCTAAATATGCATTTATAAGCAGTCAAATATGTCATATAATATGCAAGAAAACAGGGTCAAATATGCACTATAATATGCATTTATTTTTCATAAATTTATTGATGAATGTTGCAATTTTGCAATTAATATATCGATTATAAAATTACTAGTTAACATTTTGAATACTTAAATATAATTTGAGGAGTTTTGCATATATTTAGTTAGAAATGCTCAATTTTAATCAGTGTTTCAAAAGCACACACATTTGAGCAAATTTTATTTTCCTAGTTTTTCATGTTATTTAGAACAAAGAAATATTTTCAATATATTTTATGTGACTTAATTCATATTTATAATTTTGGTACGTTTTTAATTAGCTTGCAAATAACTAAATATCAAAATAACAACATAAAAACTCATACATTTTTAATAAATTCGTAAAATATGCGCTTAAAATGCAGTTATAGTTAAAATATGCGGTAACCCATGAAATATGCATTTATATGCAAAATAAAACTCGGCTAAAGTGACCCCAAGTACGTGATCGGTGGACAGCCGGACACTCACACCGATACTATGCACCGCTAAATATATGCAAGTATGCATTTAACAATGCTCTGATTATAAGATATATGAAATATAAAATATATAATACTTTATAATATATACTAACACATTATCTGTCCGACAATCCTGTATGGACAATGCTAATCTATTTTTTGAACAATATCCGAATTGTGGTTAATGTATAGCATTGCTGTGTGCACCTTGTTTTTTTACATTTGGTCCTATTATTGCAATAATTATTATATTTTTATATTAATACAACAATAAAGCATTATTTTATTATTTTATATTATTTTAAAATAAACTGTAATTAAGCAAATATTTGTAGTAAAATTATACTAAATTTAATTGACATTTAGATTTAATGGTCAGATCTAACGTGGATTATTTATCTTAATATTTAATCAATTATTTTTAATAAATTCATCAAGTAAAATTTAAAAATTAATTTATTGTAACTAAAGTTTATTTAACAACTACAAAAAGATTTTAATAGTGAATTTAATTAAATATATTTTAAAATACACAATATACAAAAATTATAATATTAATTGTACCATCTTAAATTAACCAATTTTAACGCTAACATTACTTTTGACTCTACGGGTGAGCGCTATCTCTCGGGCCATAGCCTTAACGGCGGCGTAAGTCTCGTTCCCGACGGGTATTATATCCTTTGCCGGCAATAGGAAGCCGTGTTGGCCCTCATCGCGCATCTCAAGGCAGTACACGTACGGTATGTGTGCGAACCCGTGGGCCCAGTCTTAATCATCATGGTCGGAAAGTGTAAAATGTTTTTGTAAAATGTGAATATTTATATCAATTATTTTTATCAGAGTTGTAATTACCATCAGATCCTTGCGATACATCTAAATGAATTAGAAATTTAGTTTTAATTTTGAGCAAATTTAATTAGTATTGTTTTAAGTAAATTAGCGTTGTTATAATTAATCAGGTAAGGTAGAAATATATATTTCAATCGCACTAAACTGTATATTTGAATTTATATCTACAGTACATATAGTTAATATATGGAAAACAAAGTTCATATATATTGGTAAAATAACCAGTTTTGTTAACTAATTACATAATAACTTTATTTTTACTCATAAAAATCTTTATAAATTCATATTTAATAGTAATTTTAATAATAATTAAACTATACTATATATACTAACACATTATCTGTCCGGGACTACCAAGTTTATACGTCGTGCCGTACACTGAGTTTAACGCCATATGTCCGATATCGGCCACACGTTTCTAAAAAATAAAAATAGTATTGACACAATTATCATCATAATTTATTAACCATAGTTAACCAGCTCCTTTTTGTTTGGCGAGTCTGCTTCAGTCCAACCCTTTAAAAATACAAGTAAATTAATAATAAACAATATATAATAATCACCATGATTTCACGGCACTAACCCATGGGTACAAAAACCACTGGCCATATGAATGTAACGTAATATAAGCCATCAAACGGTGTTTGTTATCCAATATAAGGCTCGAGACCGCTCTGGACTCGGGCTCCGAGAATGCTTTGGGTCCCGAGTAGTTCTCTTCGCACGGGTCCCGACTCGAGCCCTCACCGCCCCAATGGAAACCATAGTTACGGTTCAGATCAGTGCCCAAACATTTGCTGCCTTTTAGTATAGCTTTGTTTTTACGCCACATTCGGTCCTAATATTAATACAATATATTTAATAAATTAATACAAAATAAAGAATTATTGTATTTTGTATTTGCCATTATTTTTAAATGAACTGTAATTATACACAAAAGTATTCTAAGTATACAAGGTTTATATGGCATTTATATTTATTGGAAAGCGTCAAATATTATGTTTTATGTCATAATTTTAAATTTTACCATAATTTAGATCATATTTAATTTTCAAAAGATTTCTGCTACGATTTGTAACCATGCTAGTTTTTATACATTTTTGAACAAAAACTTGTATTTTATAGATTAGCTGTAAGCAATATACCATTTTTTTTAATGAAACTAGGTTTTTATTACACAAGAATATTAACTTAAATTATAAAATAAGTTTCATTATCATAAGCATCTTAGTAAGGCTATTAATTAAATAAACCAATATTTGTAATATTGGTCAATTACAACAATAATTGTGTTTGAAATGACTTACTGTTGTGTGTGAGTACTCATACCCATCGGGATTAACCACAGGTACCACATAAAAGTCAAACCGATTCAACAAATACGTCACCACTTTATCGCCAGCGTTATAGTCATCAATGAGGCGGTCAATGATATAGCACGCGGTGGACACTGCGGCCCATTCGCGGGCATGAGTGCCACCATCGATGTAAATGATTGACTTATTAGCCCGACCATGGTCAACACCGATTTTCACCGCCATGATATCCCTGTGCTCTATAGACGTGCCAATACTCATAAGGCCAACGAGTTTAGTGTTTTCCGAGTGTTTTTCGCGTAGAAATTTTTCAATGTCTCCGTTTCGACGGAATTCGTCAAAAAATGAATCGCTAGCTGCGAACTGTCTGATTTTGTCCTTGATCATTTTTCTAATATTGAGTTATAATTCATTTAAGTTCTTAATTACCTTACCAGTATTAAATATACAATAAAATTTATTGTGATTAGTTAGTAAATTAAAGTTAAAAACTGTAAATTTAATTTTTACATATTGTTTAGGCTTTAAATTTTAACTAATTTAAATATATTCGGTGGCATATCAAATAAATTATTTAACTTTTAATAAAAAAAATATATTCTTATTATTAAATTTAATTATTTATTAATATAACTTTAAATTGTATTTTTAATTATGTTAAAAATAATTAATTTTAATAATTTTTAATTCATTTATTTTTATTTTTATTGAGTTATTTAAAGTCTATTATTTTGCTGGTAAATAAACAATTAATTCGTTACTAATAAAAGTGTAAATTGCTACATCTCAAAGAATTCAAGTAATTTATTTTGATTAAAAAATAATTAAAATTGGTTGGCGGACGATAATGTAAATATTAATTTTAGTTTTAATAAAATGTAATCTATTTTTAAATTTATACTTTCCAACATCTTCAATCAAGTCCTCATACTCAATATCATGCTCATCAAGTTTTTCAGCTAGCTCAGGCATATGTGATAAACTAACCATTATGTCAACATGTTTGCCCACCATTGTAGGCGGTATCCAAAATTTTATCTAGAATGTTATATTGATCATTAATAAGTGATATTATTTTATTAATAAATATTTAAATAAATAATAAACTCTTAATTAATTATAATTACTTCTCTGTTTTTAACGAGTGATCGCAAGTACTCGAGCTGTTCATCGGTGTCAACCGTACAGCGTATGACTTTAGACCCGGTGTAGTCAACAGTATCCGATTTATGAGCATGGTCAACTGATTCTGACGAACAACCATGACCGTTTAATATAATAAAGCATATTAAACATGCACAGAACTTTGTAAATAAAGCATCCATTACTGTTTATGTATTTTGTAATAATTAATTAAACTCATATTAAGTGGAGTTTTATAATTAAATTTTTGTAATTCAAAACCAATATTAAATTTTAAATGTAATTAAATGCATTAAAATTTTTATTGGAAATTTTAATTTTACGCTTTATAGTGTATAATCGTATGAAATAACTATTTTATATCTTATAATATAAAATTAAGAGGTTTTACTAAAATTCAAAAAATAATACTAAATTGAAATCTTTAAAACATTAAACAAATCTTAATAAATTATTATTTTATTACTAATATTATTATTTATAAACGTATTTACATTACTATTTTATACGCATTCTATATAAAATATACATTAGATAATTTAAAAAACAATTATGTATTCTTGTTAATAACTAACTAATTATTAATTAGCTGTAAAATTTTATTTGTAATATTTTATAGGCAATTATTTGTGTATAATTTCAAATAACTGGAATGTGATCAGGGAAACTACAAATCAATCAACTTTTTTAACTGTTATTTTTATATTTAAGCGTATATTTTTATAAAATTATTTATAACATATAATTTAAGTACTTACCAACATCACCAATGTTCTTATAAACAATACCATGCTCATCAATATGCAGACTAAATCCATGAATTAAAGTAAAGTATTTATACTTTATTTATAAAATTATTTACATTTAGATTACATTAATTAATTATTAAAATTAATAATTTTTGGTTTTATTATTATACCGTGTCATATCGTGTGACCCAATATGTATTAAATTATAACAAGTTCTTAAAACTTTTACTTAATGTAATAATGACAGTTTTTATATAATAAAAATACTTTTATTGTTTAAAATTAAATTTAATGTTGCTCTAATAGATTGATTGTTGCTACAATAAATATAAATAGATTGATAAAATTAACGTTGCATTTGAGATGTTCCATATATACAATATGTTCCATGTATATAATAATAATATTTTCTTATATTTTTAGTTATTTTTATGTTAAAAATTACAGTTAATATTTACTAAAAATACAATTAGCAAAACACGCAAATTGTCTGAAGATATTAATATCGGTGTCGTACAAAACACATTAAAATAATAAATTATATTATCGTTTATGTTTTAACTTATTTATATTAGTTGAATATTATTAATATGGCAGTCATATTATTGGAATCAACATGAGAATTTAATTTGTTTGATAACGCTACTAGAATTAGCATGATCAAACATAAAACAAGTTTAGTTAATAATTATCAATAATATTAAAGTTAGAAATGAGTAAAAATGTATTATTTAGTGGTTCAATTTATTAGTTCAGCCGGATCCAATTAATTATAAAAATAATGTTTACTACGTTTCTTATCTAATACATTACACTTTTATTTAAGTCAATAATGATATTCAAATAAATCAATAGATTGAAACTGAGATTACTTTCACACCTACACAAACACGTTAATTAACTTTTTACTAAAATTTTATAACAATTAATTTATGCATATAATTGCAATATTGTCACTGAAACAAATTTAGCGTATTAACAAAATAACTATGTTCAAGCTCAATTTTAATTAAAAGAGTATTATTAATTTACATGTTTATAATCCAACTGTAAAATAAGATTCAATTGCTTTGAAAATAATTTATAAAATCATTTTATATATTATTTCTGGTAATTCTGTGTTTAATTTTGTTTCTAATTTTTTAGAAATTCATATGTTTTTCAAAATATGTTTTTTGTTTTCCAATTGTACAAATATGAAAGTTACAGTAGTTTTAAACCAAATAGTTACATTCAATTCACCACTTATTTTGACGTAACTGCAAATAATAATTTAAGTAACTATCAGTATTGTTTATTATAAGTTTTATCATTTTTGTAGTGATTGTAATCAATAATTAAACAGATATATTATACTTGTTTATAAAATTGATTTTTAATAATTGGGGCGACCACGCGGGAGAGTATATTATAAGTAATGCTCATTTGTTAAAAAATTTTATTTGTTAAGCAATTAAGAAATTAACGTTAAAAATGTTTTTAATCAAATTGATGTAAATAATGAATTTATTGGCTTGACCATGGTCAACACCAATTTTAACCGCCATGATATTCCTGTATTCTATAGACGTGCCAATACTTATAACGTCAAAAAGTTTTAAAAAATGCGATTTTTCTAACATTATGTTAAATTGATTTCAATTTAAATTTTTAGACTATATGTATAAAATTTTTAATAAAATATAGAATAAACTGTATTATGTGTTTTTAGATTTTTGAAGTAATTAGTAAATTGATATACCCTAAAAACCCATAGATAAGCCCACCCATGTATAAGCCGAATCATAAAATATCAAAAGTAAAATGTTCCCATAGATAAGCCGGTACCTATGT